GAAATAAGTCAGGCAGAGAAGGACAAATATCATATGTTTGCACGTACAGGAGGATTAGGAGGAACTTAACGGAGGACCATGGGGGAGAAGAAGGGGAGAAATGGTGGGGGAAAGGGAGAGAGGCAAACCATGAGAGACTCTTGAATGCTGAGAACAAACTGAGGACTCATGGGTGTCGGGGGGAGGGATGAGCACTGGGTGTTATATGGAAACCAACTTGACAATAAACTATTTGTAAAAAAAAAAAAGGGGGGGCCCAAAAAGAAAAAAAAAGGGGTAAATTGACTTGAATAGACATTTTTCCAAAGAAGATATACAAATAACCAACAAGCCAAAAAAGGCGCTTGATCATTAGAGAAATACAAATCAGAGCCACAAAGGGATATCAGCTGCCCCCACCCATTAGCATGACTGCTATTTAAAAAAAAAACAGAAAATAACAAGCATTGTAAAGAATGTAGAGAAATTGGAACCCTTGTGTCCAATGTAAAATAATGCAGATGTTATGGAAAACAGTATTTGGTTTCTCAAATATCAAAGATAGAATTATGACACAGCAATCCCACTTTTGGGTATATATCCAAAAGAATTGAAGGCAGGATCTTGAAGAGATATTTATACAACCGTGGTCATAGTGGCATTATTCATGATAGCATAAGATGGGAACAATCCAAACATTCAATGACAGACAAATAGGTTATAAACAAAGTGTGGTGTATACATGCAACAGAGCATTATTTAGCCTTAAAGTGGAAAATTTGACACAAGTAATGAAACTTGAGGACATTATGCTAAATGAAATAAGCCTGTCATAGAAAGACAAATACTGCATGATTTCACTTATGTGCACTATCTAGAATGGTCACATTTATGGAAATTGAAAGTAAATTGGTGGTTGGCAGGTCTGGAAGAGGGGGAAATAGTTGTTTAACATGTAGTTTGGTTTTGCAAGATTAAAAAGTTCTGGAGATAGATTCAGTACGATGTGACTATAAACACTATTGAGCTGTATACTTAAAAATGGCTTAGATGGTAAGTTTTATGTTATGTGTATTTTGCCACAATTAAAAATAAGTTTTTTTGTAATTTGAAAGACGAAAAACAAAAAAAGCCCTGGGCAGGCTCCCAAAACACATTTATCACGATGTGCAGTTCGAAGTGTTTGCCTTCTGACAGTGAATCTCTAACTTGATCATGCATCAGGATAACCTGGTGGGCTTGTTAAAACAGATTGCTGGGCCACACCCCCAAAGTTTCTGCATCAGTAAGCCTGAGGTAAGGCCTGAGAATTTGAATTTCTAACAAGTTCCCAGGTGTTGTGAGGCTACTGCTACTGATCCAAGGATTATACTTTGAGGGCCGCTACATTGGATAATACCACAGACTACAAGTCTCTGTTAATTTCTATGTATTAGTTTGTGATACATCTTTGGTTCTGGGGTCTGTGAAAGTCTTAAGTGTTTGCCATGCCCTTGTGCCATGTGTCCCTGCTTCTCTGGGCAGTAATATGCTGTAGATGAAGGGCTGGACTGAATAGACTGGGCGTGGAAACTTCCCGATTTTGCACAATATATGGTATATAATCCAATTAGAATAATCCGATCCAATTTTGAATGCAAGACACACCAAGGCAGGTCAGGTAGAAGCTGAGGCTAAGAGAAGCTTAGTTCTGAGGGAACTGGTCAGGTGACCAGAGCCACCTTGTTTTACCTAGAGTAGTGTGAATCACAATCCACCACCATGAGGCTGTGTGGCCAAGATGCTGCTTGTGGTCACCCACTTCCTGGTGTGACCTTAATATAAACCTGCATCATCTCTGCTAAAAAGAGGAAGTCGCTTTTCTGTGTTTCCTGGAAGATTCTCCCATCCTGTTTTGATAGTTTTGGTATCTCTATCATACTGTTGATTATGCTTTTCTATGGAAGGAAATAGTCTTGATCAAGAAATGTGATTCCTGGGGCACCTGGGTGGTTTAGTCGATTAAGCGGCCGACTTCAGCTCAGGTCATGATCTCATGGTTAGTGGGTTCGAATCCTGCATCGGGCTCTGTGCTGACCGCTAGCTCAGAGCCTGGAGCCTGCTTCAGATTCTGTGTCTCCTTCTCTCTCTGACCCTCTCCTGCTCACGCTCTCTCTGTCTCAGAAATAAATAAAAACATTAAAAAAAATGTGATTCCTTAAGGCTCGGTTTTATTGAGTTTGATAAAAATTATAAACTATGCCTTCACTCATAAGATAGGAATTTTTCCATCTACCAAAACTCCTTCGAATAATTGCAATACATGACTCTTAGGTAATATCCTGGAATTGCTATAAAAATCAGTAAACCCATCTCATCCCAGCATCCTGCTTCTTGTCTCCTCTCTAATTGCCTGTCAGCTAGTTCATTTAGTGAAGACAGCATTAAAACAATCTTATCAGGTTTCCGCACCGCTAGCTCCTCCAGCCCCTTCTCCCCCGAAATGGAAGAAAGCCGGTTGCAATTTTGAAAGGGGGCATAAAAACAGTGTCACAGGAGATACTGTTTACAGCGGGAAAGATGGCCTTAAGGATAGTAAGCTTCTGCTAACGAAGGGAGTGGCAAGACACTGCACCAGCTGCCTAGAAACGGCCACAGAGGGAATAGTTACTTAACGTCTCTCCGGACTCAGAGACGGAGAGGTGGTAACAGGGAAAATGCTCTCGGCATGGAGAGAGGCTGAGAGGGCTCGTCCCCAGCGGGATTGCTGTTAGGAACCGCACTACGACTTCGGCCCCGTGAGGGGCCAATCGGTGCCGACGCTTCCCGATCTGGGCGTTCGGCAAGACCCTTTCAGCCAATCTTTGGACAGGCACTGGTTGCTCTCCGGCCTGTCTCATGACGTCATCCCACAGCGCCGGAAGTGGTGCGTCCCCGAAGAGTAACGTGAGGTTACCTGTGTCCACCGTTTCGAGGTAAGGCGGTTGTCGGCCTACCTCCTCTGCTGACCGGGTTGAAAGCCGTGGGTGTGGGTCCTGGGCCGAAGCCGTTATTGCCCTTGAAGGATATTCTTTGAATAACGGTTTTATGGCTTCTTTCGCGGCAGGATTTACTCCATCTTCCTCTAGGCTTCTCACTTGGCCCAAACTCCCTTGGGCCGTTTATCGTTGTTCGTCAGCCCACCTCAGGTTCTTTGACCTGTACCCCCGACACCTGTATTTAGCTTGGTCGCCACGCAAGCAGAGAAAAGATTAGAGAGTGGGCACTGTCCAGCCCAAGGCGGCTTGGCGTGTTAGAAGGAACGCTCCCTTGAAAGGAACTTGAGGGGCCTTCCCAGCGTCCTCAACAGGTCTAATAGGAGGGCCAGAAGAAGCAAGCTTTTTCTCAGGCAGCCAGTGATAGTGGTTCAACAAAGTAGGGGTGTAACTTCTACTTGGAATTAATGTGGTCCAGGTTTAGAGCTTTTAGGGAATCTAACTTAGGTTGGGAATCAGAATACTTGAAACAGGGCTGTACACACATAAGAGAGACAATACAGATTTGTGCCCTTTCACCTTAGTTGCACAGTCACTACTGTCAGATGATTTTTAATATGCCCTTAGCTCCTCCTCTTATCTGTCTTCACTATTCACCAAGTGATAATGGATATGGAGAAATAGCTAGAATGAATGCTAACTTTTGGCCAGACACTGAACTTTGCATACTTCCTCATTCAGTCCTTGTGACACCTCTGTGTTGTATAGCAATTCTGTTTTACAGCTGAAGAAATAAGGGCTTAGGTTAAATAACTGGTGTCAAGGCACACAGTGACTAGATGCTGCAACTCAGGCAGTTGCGCTTAAGAGGCTTGGGTGTTATCCACTATGTTATATTGATTTTTTTTTTCAACTGTTCATTAAGCTCCCCAACACCTCACTCTATTATCTGCTGTTTTATGGAGAAAATTGAGGTCATTGGATATGCTTTCCTCAATTTCTGTCCCTGCTTTCCCTTCTTAAAAAATCGTCTCGTCTTACACCCATCTTTACCTTTCTTTTACTCTCAGGATAAGCTGTCTCCTCTTACCAAAGCAGATCCCTGTATCTTTGCTTCTCACCTTTCTTTTCATCAATGAGACCTTGTTTTCATTTATCTTTTCTGCCTCTGACTATGTCCTAGCCATATGTCAACATACTCAGGTTTCTCTGATCCTTGGTCACCTGGCTCTTACCCCCCAAAGCTATAAAGAAAGGAAAAGTTCTTAGTGATCCATCTTCTCTTAGCTGTCATTCAGCAAGTCTTTCCCCCTACTTTTTTAAAGTATTCTAAATTCTGTCTCCATTTCGTCACCTTTCACTCCTTTCTACAGTCTAGCTTTCAGACCTATCATTCTCCTGAAATTTTAACCTTAAGGTCACAGTGATTGATTATCAAATCAGATAGACCTTTTTCAGTCACTACTGGATCCCCCTGTTACTTCTTAAAAATTTTTTTTTAGTTTTGAGAGAGAGAGCATGAGCAGAGGAGGGATGGGGAGAGAGAGAGAGCGAGCGAGCCAGAAAGACAGAATCCGAAGCAGGCTCCAGGCACTGAGCTGTCAGCACAGAACCCCACGCAGGGCTCATACTCATGAACTGTGAGATCATGACCTGAGCTGAATGCTTAACTGACTGAACCATCCAGGCACTCCTTCCTTTGTTGCTTTTGAAACTCTCACTTCCTATTGCTTTTCTTTCCAGGACAATACATTCAGCTGTCTTATTCAACAAATATTTATTATGATACAGAGATGAGAAAGATAAAGTGCCTTCCCATTAGGAGCTTTCATTCTAGGTATTTCTCCATATGCTTCCCTCACCAGACATTTCTCCTGTGGCTAGTCTTTTTAGTTCCTCCCCTGAAATTTTAGGTGCTTCCAAGGCTTGTGACTTTGGCCCACTTCTTTTTTCATTCTGTACACATTGCCTGAGTGAGCACATCAACTAGCTTGGTTTTAACTGCCTTCTACATGCTCCCAAATCAAAGTTGTCTGCTTAGACCTCTTTTCTAACTTTCCTTCTCACTTCTTACCACACTGCTGGACAGCTCTGCCTACAAGTCCCACAGACTGTTCACATTCACAGTCCTGAAATTGAACTCCATGTCTTGCTTGAACTTGATCTTATCATCTGCATCACTAAGTCCTGAGGATTTTATCCCCTAAGTATTTCTCAAATCTGTGCTCTCTTCTTCATCCCTATTATTGTACTACTTTAGGCACCATCGTCTTTCACCTGGAATATGATGGCCTTCTGACTGATTTCCCCACCTCCAGTCCTGTTCTCCACATGTCTCTCCTTACATGAGATGATATAACTAAGACATACCTTCCTCCACCAAATGATCTTTGAAAACAAATCTGTGACAAAGCCCTGATTCGTAATCTTTAAAGATCTGTCCATTCATTTGATCTTTTTTTTTCCTCATTCATTTAGCAAGTATTTATTGTTTAGTGAATTGCAAAATCCAGTGGAACTTCTAAAGTTTGAACTTGTCACCAGTCACCTAGGGTTCTGCTTATTCTGGACCTGTGTCTCCAGCCTCTTTTCTGCCTCATGCTTTAGATTGCAGCAGTGCTGAACCACTTTTTCATGTACACTATGCTATTTCTTTATGTATTACCCTTGCTGTTTCCTTTGACTTGAATCTTCTCCGTTTCCTTTATCCACTCATTCTCCCCTAATTAGAATGACCCTTTCACCTAATTAACTTAGTTTATATATAAGACTCATTTTAGGTCTACCTTCTGTAGGAAATCTTCCTTGACCTCTCCTTTCTCCAAGTCTGGGTTGGGTATTCCAGCTTTGTGCTCCCATAATAGTCTGCACAGACCAATCCTTATACTTACTACATTTGTTTAAGTGTTTTTGTGTTTCTCTCCCTTGCAAGACTCTGAGCCTTTTGAAGACAGGAATGATATACCTGCATCATATGAGTGAGACATATTATTTCTTTATTCCCAGTACTAGAATAGCACAAGGCACATAGTAGGCATGAAGTAATTTTGATTGAATGAAGACAAAAGGTATATGGTGTAGTGATTAAGAAACCATTCTTTAAAATTTTTTTTAAATGTTTATTTTTGAGAGAGAGATAGTGCAAGTGAGGAAGGGCAGAGAGAGAGGGAGACACAAAATCTGAAGCAAGCTCCAGGCTCTGAGCTGTCAGCACAGAGCCTGAAATGGGGCTCGAACCCATGAACTATGAGATCATGACCTGAGCTGAAGTTGGGTGCTTAACTGAGCCACCCAGTTGCCCCCCCTTTTAAAGTTTATTTGTTTTGAGAAAAAGAGCACAAGAGTGGGAGCAGAGGAAGGGGAGGGGCAGGGAGAGAATCCCAAGCAGGCTATATGGCACAGAGCCCTCAAACTCAAGAACCATGAGATCATGACCTGAGCTGAAAGCAAGAGTCAGATGCTTAACTGACTGAACCACCCAGGCACTCCAAGAATCTATTCTTTAGAATTGATTCAAATCCTGTCCCTGGCACACATTAGCTATGTGGCTTGTACATGTTGCCTATTTTTTCTTAGGCCTTAAATTTTTCTTTCTTAGGATGAGAGCTGTGAAAATTAAATGAGATGATAAAGTAAGACATTTAACAAGTGCCTAGCACATAGTATGCACTTGATAAAGGTGTGCTGGACTCCAGAGGATCCAGAAGTATAAGGCCAGGCCTGGCCCAGGACAGTGATCTTTAGAGACCCTTCCTCCTCCGAGTTTTCTGTATGGATGGGCACTGATGCAGTCTGTTTACAAGGAGATTATAATCTCATTCGGACAGTAGACTTACATCCACATTTAATTTTCAGAGAACTGTGAAGGTAAATTAACCACACCCAATAGCAATATGTCTTGGTAGGGAAGAAAAGATAGTTCAGAGAAGGCCTCTGGGGGGAGCTGGGACTTGGAAGTTGAGAAGGATTTGGGATTCTGGGAGGGAGGAAAGAGTATAACCCAATGCCTGGAGATCATATTGAGAATGACTTACTTGGGAGACATGATTCAGTACATCATACCTGAGTGATGTATTTGTGTGTAAGAAGGAACGTATGTGAGTCTCGGGGAAGGAAAAGGTGAGGCTAGTTCTATGAAAGGAGGTAGGAGGCAACATAAGTAACCTTTGTGGGGTTAGAGTATGAGGGTCTTAACCTCAAGCTTGAGGAGTTTGGGACTGATCTGGGTTGGGCAAGTTGGATTGGATATCATGGGAGCCCTCAGCCACATGTAGCTATTTAAAAGTAAGTTAAGAAAGAAAATCTAAGAATTTTAGTTCCTCTGTCACACTAGCTACATTTTAGATGCTTGATTGTCACATAGTGGCTACATTATTGGACAACTTAGGTTTTATAGCAGTTCCGTCACTGCGAAAAATTCTACTGGACAGCACTGTTCCACATTCTCAGATTCCTGGGCTTGTGTGGCCTATCAGATCACTTGGTTCCTTAAGATATAACCAGAATTTTTTTCTGACCAATCCCTACAACTCTGGAATGAAAAGTAGGGAGTTGGAAAATAGAGAATTAGGATTTATCCACATAGATGTGAAGATGGGATTGTCCAAGGAGAGGAGGAGCGAACGACGGCGTTAGAGGAGCCAGAGCAGGGGAGAGAGAAGGAAGGCCGGAGAACCTGGAAAGGATTATTGTCTGGTCATTCACTTGCGACTATGTACTATATTCTTGTATGCGTGTATTAAGTGCTGGGACTATATTGGTAAGCAAGAAATGGACTTTGCTGGTTTAGAGCTTGTGGTTTATGGAGTTTCACTGTATGGACTATATTGAGATTCAGGAGCACCCATCATTATGCATTCCCCATATTCTAAAATGCTTCATTCCTAGAAAATGGAACTGAAGACTAAAATGGGCCAAAATGTTGCTTAAGGGTAGTTGCATAAGCATTGTGGAGTCACTGGTTTAGCTTCTCAAGAAGTAGTACATAACTTGAGAACTTTGAGAGGAACTAGTGTGTGTAGAGGGCAGGAGGGGTAATTCGTATTATCCTACAACAGCCAGCCATGCTCTCAGCTGCCCATCAGATTCCTTCCTGTCCCTGCTCTCAAACTATGCTCTTTCCACATTTCCTTTGTAGGACTGTGAGTAGTCAGTCACCACGTGACTTATTTCTCAAGGCCTGATGAAGACATACTTCATTCCTCAGTCCGCTTCCTGCTCATTCATCAGTTTCCAGCAAGTGCAAACAGATGCCTCTCTGAACACACCGCATTTAAAAGTGGGACGTGCGTATAGCACCATCATCACTTGAGGCTCCAGGTTTAGGTTTTTAGATTTACAGCTGACTCTTCATGCCTTGCATCCACTCCTTCACAAAGACCTGCAACTTTTGGACCTCACTCTGGTCCACAGTATGTTGACTGCCTCCTGACTCATCTCAGACTCTAGACTTCTTCACTCCTGCCTGCCCACGCCCGGCTGTCCTTTTCCTTTGCTATGCAGCTCAGTAACCTGGCAGTTGTCTCTTGTTGATTATCAGGTCTAAGCTTTTCAGCTTAGTGTTCAGCACCTTTGCCATTTTTGATAACTCTGGGGCAGCTCCTCTGGGCAGCCAACAAGGTCTGCTTCCCACCCCTCACGCGTGACTTATTGCTGAAATCTGCCTTGTGCTTGTGCCTTTAAAAACCGGAATGTACTCTCCCGCTTATTTTCCTTATCAGTCTTCTTGGCCTTCTCAGTTGGATGGTTTCCAAAATCTTTCCTGACTGATCCAATTTCTGTGACTTTGCACCTCAGCAATCATTTGTTCACTCTGCATTCTCCTTTGCAGATGGTAATGAAACTCTGACTTTCAAAAATCTTGTTTCTTTTCTCTTCCTTTTGGATACAGAGCTTGTGCAGAGGGCCTGATAAGTGCTGCCTGCAGGGCACATTTCTCAAAGAGAGAGAATTAGAGGCTTGAGCAATAAGCTTTAGGAGTGGGGGTGGGGGAGGAAGTATCCCAAAGATCCCAGTCCTGTCCCTGCCCATAATTCCCTGCTCTACCTCTCCAGGTGATCTTGTGCCTCACTTTCTCTGACCTGTCGATGCCTCTCAAATACATATAGTCAGTCCATTCCTGTCCCTGAGCTTTTACCCACATATCCTACCTTGACCTGTGGATCTTCCACAGAAAATGTAATCTGTGTTTCGGTCTGAAAGCATCCCTTTTTCGTCTGCCATTTAACTTCTAATTATGTCTCCTCGTATATTGCTCATTTTGATAAATGGCTATTTCCAAATTCGAAGTCTCGGTTACTCCTTTGTCATTCCTCAAATACAGTAAGTAATTAAATCTACCTTCACAGTTTCTTCTGGATCTTCTTCCTCTCCATTCCCTTTGCTTTGCCTTTGTTCAGGCCTCATCTCTCTCCCAAATTTCTTGGCTCTTCTATTGATACTCTCTGTGACCATAAAGGTTGTTTTCAAAAGAAAACCCGCACCTCTATTGTGCAGGTTGTGTATGGCACTAAGGTGCCACATGCACTCTTTAGACATTGTAGGTTTGTGTATTTATTATGACAGTCTTCTGGTAGATGGCAGTAAAATGTATTCTGATATTGGTATGTTATGATGATTAAGGAAAGGAAATTTTTTTTTAATGTTTTATTTATTTTTGAGGTGGGGAGAGGGGCAGAGAGAGGGAGGGAGACAGGTTCCAAAGCGGCCTCTCCAGGGGTCTGTGCTGATAGTGGAGATCCAGATGCAGGGCTCAAACTTATGAGCTGCAGGATTGTGACCTGACCTGAAGTCAGATGCTTAACTGCCTGAGCCACCCAGGTGCCCCAAGGAAAGGAAACCTTGTAATACACATAAAGATGCCTATGGACTGAAGAACATCCTCTGTTCTTATGTCCTTAATTCTCTGCCAGGCAAATTCCTTCTCATCCTTGAAAACTTAGCATAAATCTCCCTTCCTCATTAAGCCATTTTTGATACTCCCCACAAGAGTCAGTCCTTCCTTTCCCTGGGCAAATGCCATATTTGGTTAGTCCCTTATAGTGCTTATCACATTATATTGTAATAATTAATGTATGAGTCTATCTGCCCCACTATACTCCAGGCCTCTCAAGCATATAGGGACAATGTTTAATTATTTTATCCTCAGCATGTAGCCTAATGGCTAGCACATAGAGTATATAAAAAAACATAAATATTTGATTGTTTAGTATGATTTAGGCACAGAGGTAAGTACATACGGTATCTTATTTAATTCTCACAACAGCCTCATGAGTCCTGTCATTATCACGTTTTACAAGTGAGAAAATTGAGACCTAGGTGAAGTCACTGGCCTCAAGATGAACGGCTGGTAGCTGGCATGCGTGGGGGTGCTGGGGTGGGGCCCTGAAGGACTTGTGCTAATTTTTCCAGTGATTTTCTTCTGTTTTGTTTCTCAGAGTAATGATGCGGGTGTGCTGGTTGGTGAGACAGGATAACCGGCACCAGCGAATCAGACTTCCACATTTGGAGACAGTTGTGGTTGGGCGTGGCCCAGAGACCAAGATCATGGACAAGAAATGTTCTCGACAGCAAGGTAATTGGTCATAGCAATGTGCAGTATTGTGTTTTGTTCCTTAGGATAATGATAACCAAGGATGCACGTTTCCTGGATGCTATTGATAGAAATCTTCTGTCTACCGTAAACAATATGGGCCCCAGTCATCCGTGATTCCACTCTCTGGAAGTGGTTAATATTCAGTGTTAGGAGCAGGCAGGTTCCATCCTGTTAGTATGGGGTGATGGAACCGAACCCTGCACCCTGCTTTGCCCAGGGAGATTCCTCACTGGGCAGTGAGACAGTTGCATTATGGGATCTCCAGCCTGAAACCATGTCTGAAAAGTGATGGTATACTTCCATCCTTTGCATAATACCTCACACAGAGATTGTTGTCTTTATAAGACTATGGCATCCAGCTCTTGAAATGCCTTTCCTGGGATTTAATGAAATGAAAGGTCCTTAGGAAAAAGCTGTACTGTGTACCTCATTTTTTTCCATGTAAACTCTGACCTGCTCACTGCGACCAGGCCTCCGGCCTACAGTGTGTTCCTCAGAACAGGGTTTCTCAGTGCTTGGAGTCTGTGAGGGGGGAGGGAAAGCCATGCTTGAGCTGGCTGTGTCCAAGATACAGGGGACACTGCTTCTCACTCTCTGTCCCCTTCTCACAACAGCAACTGTAGGACGTATATGTCAGCCTGTCTCCTGCCTGTCCTCCCTGGAGAGCAGCTGTAGTGTCTCTGCACCTTGTCTCACTCACAAGTGTTTGATGTTAACTCTTCCCACATATGCCCAGACTGTTCTGTCCTTGCAGTCCTGTTTCTAGAATGTTCTATGCACTCTGCCTACCCAAGGCCAGCTGAACTTCTGTTTTCCAAGAATGTATCTTTTTGCTTTTCTTTACTGAAGGCATCTGATGGTTTTATTAAATAATGGAAGCCTGATTTAATAATGAGCCAAGAGCTTATGAGATAACTGGGTCCTTTCTCTGACTGCAGAGTCTGTGATCCTGAGTGGGCCAAGGACTCTGGAATAGGGAGACTTGTAGGGAATCCGTGAACCCGCTTCATAGGAATGTTAGCAGTAGCTAAGGGAGCATGTATGCTGTTGGAAATTTTATGGAAGGATTCGAGCTCAGCCACCTCCATAATAGGCGATTTTGCTCATAGGCCTTTGAGGAAACCCCTCCTGGAATGAGGCTTCATTGTCCTGTAGGGAGCATAGGGGCATGTGCTTGGTTCTTTGTGGCATTTAGGTTTAACTTTTTTCAATCTCTTTCAGTACAGTTGAAAGCAGAGTGTAACAAAGGATATGTCAAGGTAAAGCAGGTATGTGTGTTTGTAATTTGGATTTTCTTGTGGTGCCTGTGCCAGCCAGTGAAAGCTCTGTCATGTGTGGAAAGCGATGGGGTGATATCAGTGAACATTAAGCGTGGTATCTGGCACGCAGTAAGTGGTTAGCATAGCAGTGGCTATGTTGCTAATGGTATTATTGCTCTCATTGTAATTATTTTCTGATTTTTCTACAGGTAGGGGTTAATCCCACCAGCATTGACTCAGTCATAATTGGGAAGGACCAAGAGGTGAAGCTGCAACCTGGCCAGGTTCTCCACATGGTGAATGAACTTTATCCATATATTGTAGAGTTTGAGGAAGAGGCAGAGAGCTCTGGCCTGGAAACACACAGGAAGAGAAAGAGGTCAGGCAACAATGATTCTATAGAAAGGGGTGCTGCCCAGGAAGCTGAGTCCCATACAGGACTGGAACCTGGAAGTGACTCTGGCCAATGCTCTATGCCCTCAAAGAAGGGGAAAGATGCATCTACCAAAAAGGTGAGGGTGGTGTGCTTGATAGATTACATGGAGATTAAATGAAATATAATGACTGCTTGATTGTTTTGTACACTGTAAAGCTCAGATACACGTAAGGGGTTATTAACCATAACAAAGGTTATTAACCATGATGAAAGAGTCACTTGTTTGTGTCACCAGTCATTTGGGTGAATGTCCCTTTATGTACATTTTTCTTGAATTCCTGAGGTAAGCCACCTGAAGGTAGGGAGGTAATGGCGGTGTACTGCTGAAATGGGTCAGTCATATGTGTATCTGCAGAGGGTTAGCATTGGAACACTGTTCATAGATCATGTGATTCACATCCTGATGTCAAAGTGGAAATGTAATGAGGCTGTAGATGGAGCGGGAGAGGGCAAAGAAGATGCAGTTCAAACTCTGGCATTTCCTGCCTTTGTCTAGACGCACAGCTCTGACTACTGTATAGGAAGAAAATGGAGATGGCTTATGGTTATAAAGATAAAAGATTGAGTAAAGGGGATATAGTTTAATTCTTTTTTTTTTTAATGTTTATTTTTGAAAGAAAGAGAGAGCAAGCAGGCATGGGTAAGGCGGTGGGGCGGGGGCGTAGAGGGAAGAGGACAGAAGATCCAAAGTGGGCTCTGTGCTGACAGCAGAGAGCCTGATGTGGGGCTCAAACTCACAAACTTTGAGACCATGACCTGAGCTGAAGTCGGACACTTAACCAACTAAGCTACCCAGGCACCCCAGATATAGTTTAAATCTTTAAAAAATGAATCTTATTACTAAGTTTGGTTGCATTTTGCTGACACTACAATATTAACTAATGCCAAATACAACTACTGACATTTGCAATTTACATTGCCCCTTTTTGTTTCAGGAATCATTGGGCCACTGGAGTCAAGGCTTGAAAATTTCTATGCAGGATCCCAAAATGCAGGTCAGAATAAAATTTTGGCATTGAAACGTATTTCGTGTTTTAAGTGGCTACTCCACAGAGATCATAACAACAAATGAAAGCAAAGGAGATCAGTCCTTCTGAATGAGACTTGTTTCATTGGGCTACTTTGTAAGAACAAGTGGCTTTTCCCATTGTCAGTAAGTTAGCAACTGGAATTCTTTGGAGAGAAGCTAAGTTCTTCAAATGAAGATCTCCTCTTCCTTGTTTCTCCTAAACTTCTGGGTGCTATTAAGGGAAGTTGAATTAACCTTAGTGGGTTTTTTTCCAAGGGAGTGTCAGGTAATGTATTATGACTGCAGTTACTGGGCTGCCCTGGGATTAATAGTCAGGCATCGTCCTGGGATGAGTCTGTGAATTCTTAAATTACATTCTGGGGTGACAAGGGGCCAGAAATGATAGGGCTTCTTGGAACACATGATTGTGTCACATGGTCTGCTGTGTTAGAGTGGAGAAGGGTGCGTTTGAATTTATGCCTGCCAGGATTTTACATGAAATCCTTAGAAACTCTTTTATACTGTGCATTTCCTGTGTATTCTCTGTAGTGCGGTGCTTGAAAACAGCTCTGGATTCAGTTAGATCTGCTAGGATTTTGGAATCCTAGATTTCCCACTTAGTAATGATGTGACTTTGTGCAAGACACTCATCTGAGTCTCTGCTGTCATCTGACAAAATTGGGATACTGACACCTTTGGTATAAGATTATGTTGGGAATGAAGTGAGTTAGTGAACATGACAGTACCTGACACGCAGAGCATGTGTGGTAGATATCTGTTTCCCTGTCTTGTACCCCTCTGCTAGGTTTACAGAGATGAGCAGGTGGTGGTGATTAAGGATAAATACCCCAAGGCTCGTCACCACTGGCTGGTCTTACCATGGGCTTCCATTTCCAGTCTGAAGGCTGTGACCAGGGAACACGTTGAGCTCCTCAAACACATGCACAGTGTGGGGGAAAAGATGATTGCAGACTTTGCTGGGTCCAGCAAACTCCGCTTCCGATTGGGTTACCACGCCATTCCCAGCATGAGGTAAGTGTTGTGGGTAGTGCTAGTGTATTCTTGTTCTTTTTTTGTTTTAAAAAAATTTTTTTTAATGTTTTATTTATTTCTGAGAGAGAGGGAGAGAGAGCAGAGGGTAGAGAGAGAGGGGAGGGTCCGAGAGAGACAGGGAGATACAGAATCTGAAACAGGCTCCAGGCTCTGAGCTAGCTGTGAGCACAGAGCCCGACACAGGGCTCGAACCCACGAACTGTGAGATCATGACCTGAGCTGAAGTCAGACGCTTAACTGACTGAGCCACCCAGGCACCCTGAGTGTATTCTGGTTCTAAGTGGACAGACGGATTCAGCTTGGGTGTGCTGATAGTCTCAAGGTCAAGGGGAGTAGGGTGGGATGTTTCCAAGGAAGGTGAGCTGAAACTTCCACCCTTCTCCCTGACTTGCCTATGACTTTTATTCGATTTTTCAGAAGCATCTATAACCCCTAACTGACTAAGGATCATTGCTCTGAAGGAGACAAACACCACTGACCTTTGCCATGATTAACTCAGTAGATCTAAGATTTAAAATAAAATGAGAGAAAAATGTAGAGCCTGTTTGCTTTTGGCTCATACCCATAAAGATTCAGAAAGGAATAATTGAGTCTTTTCAAAGAACTCAAGCAAGGCAGAGCTCCACAGTTGTTCTTCTTTTTTTAATGTTTATTTCTTTTTGAGAGAGGGTCAGAATGTGAGCAGGGGAAGGGCAGAGAGAGGAAGACACAGAATCTGAAGCAGGCTCCAGGCTCTGAGGTGTCAGCACAGAACCCAACATGGAACTCAAAACTCATGAACTCAAAGATGATGACCTGAGTTGAAGTCGGACACTTAACTGACTGAGCCACCCAGTTGTTCCTCCACAATTCTTCTGAGCTAAGCAACCAGATAAGCAGATTAATTGGATTTCAGAGTTTTTATCTTGTATTTGTGCATTTGTTTTTTGGTCATAAAATGCACATAACAAAGTTTACCATTTTAACCATTTAAAAAAATTTATTTAAATCCAAGTAAGTTAACACGGTGTAATAATGATTTCAGGAGTAGGATTTTAACTATTTTTAAGTGTACAGTTTATTGGCATTAAGTACATTTACAGTGTTGTGCAGTCATCACTATCATTTGTTTCTAGGACCTTTTTCATCTTCCCAAACTACCTCCCATTCCCCTGGACAGTCCCTGACAGTTAGCATTCTGCTTTCTGTTTCTATGAATTTGACTACTCTAGGTGATGCATGGAAGTGGAACCATACTATAGAAACTCTTTTTGTGCCTAGCTTATTTTACTTAGAATAATGTCTTCAAGGTTCATGTATGTTGTAGTGTGTGTCAGAATTTCTTTTGGTTATTTTTTTTTAACTACAAAACATTCTTCACATTTTATTAGGATAATTATGACCCACTTAAATTATGGGTGACTTTAACCAAATGGAAAATTTTCACCATCAGTACTCTTCCTTTTTTTTTTTTTTTTAAGTTTATTCATTTATTTTGAGAAAGAGAGAGAGAGCACACAGGCTAGGGAGGGGCAGAGAGAGAGAATCCTAAGCTGCCAAAGCAGGTTCTGCACTGCCAGCGCAGAGCCCAAGGTGGAGCTCGAACCCACGAACCACGAGATCACTGCTTGAACCGGAACGATGAGTCAGACACTCAACCAGCTGAGCCACCCAGCCGCCCAGTACTCTTCCTTTAAAATTGAGGCATAACTTCATACAATACAATACATTGCATCAGATTTATAGTTTGGTCAGTTTTGACAAACATATATGCCATGTAACTGTCACTCTGATTAAGATACAGAACATTCCTGTCATATCCCAGAAAGTTCCCTTGTGCTCCTTTCCAGTTAATCCTGCCCTCAACCCTCAAGGATTCTAATGTCTTTCTGCATAGGTTAGTTTTGCCTGTTCTAGAACTTCATATAAATGGGATCATACAATGTGTACTCTTCTCTGTCTGACCTTTTTTAGTCAGCATTGTGATTTTGAGATTCATGTATATTGTTTTATATATCATGGACATACTTAATTTTTTTACTCTGTACCTACAAGTGAGGTTGCTAGGTCCAGGGTAGATATATGTTGTACCTCATTTTAAAAAATGCAGTTGAGGGAGTGCCTGGGTGGCTCAGTTGGTTGAGCATCTGACTTCAGCTCAGGTCATGATCTCACGGTTTGTGGGTTTGAGCTCTGCGTCGGGCTCTGTGCTGACAGCTCAGAGCCTGGTGCCTGCTTTGGATTCTGTGTCTCCCTCTCTCTCTCTGCTCCTTCCCTGCTTGCATTCTGTCTCAGTCTCTCAAGAATGAATAAATGTTAAAAACTTTTTTAAATTTAAAAAAATTTTAAAAATGCAGTTGACCCTTGAATAACATAGATTTGAATTGTGCAGGTCTACCTATATGCAGATTTTTTTTAATGCAGTAAAATACTGCAAAGGTATTTTCTTTGTGATTTTCTTAATAGATTCTTTTCTCTGGCTTCCTTTATTTTAAGATTTCAGTGTATAATACAACATACAAATATGTGTTAATGGACTGTTCATGTTATTGGTGAGGTTTCTCTGGTCAACAGTAGGATCTTAGTAGTGAAGTTTTTGGGGAGCCAAAGTTATACTTTTGGATTTTTGATAGTGTGGGAGGTTAGTTCATGGGTCAACTGTATGTATTTAATAAGGTTTATTGTTAGAACCTTGTTAAAAAATTTTAGGGCGCCTGGGTGGTTCAGTCGGTTAAGCGTCTGACTTCAGCTCAGGTCATGATCTCACGGTTCGTGGGTTTGAGCCCCATGTCGGGCTCTGTGCTGACAGCTAGCTCAGAGCCTGGAGCCTGTCTTTGGATTCTGTATCTCTCTTTCTCTGACCCTCCCCTGCTCGCACTGTTTCTCTTTGACTCTCAAAAATAAATTTAAAAAAACATATAAAAAATTAAAAAAAATTTAGGCAAAAAGTCACCCTTAATTATAATTCTCTTTCTCCAATGCTGCACAGCCCATGGCTAACAGAGCCCTTGACTATAGAGCGCTTTTCACACAGTAATCATGGTGTCCATACCTTTGTCATATAACAAATGCTGTTATGCTAAGAATGCTAAAAAAAATAGCTATGGCAGGTGTGGGTGGGAAGCAAAATGAGCAGTAAGTAAAGTTGCTGCTTACATATTCTTTTATGATCACTAATTTTGAATAAACACTGGAAAGGAAAAGGTAACAAATTTTTTTATTGTAAAAAATTTAGAAAATATAAAAAAGAAAGTATGAAGCAGAACAATGATCTTTCATAATATCACCACTAATTAAGCTCTAGACCTTATTTGAATTTCACTTTTTTTTTAATAATGTTTTCCTGCTCCAGGATGCAGTCCAGGATCCTGTATTGCATTTATTTATTTATTATCTTTCCTTAGTTCCTCTAACCTGTAACACTTCTTCTCCTTTCTTGATTTTCATGACCTTGACGCTTTTGATGAATACTGGTTGGTTTTATAGGATGTCTCTCATTTTGGGTTTGTCTGATACTTTTTCATGCTTATGTTGGGGTTATGCTTTTTTTTTTTCTCCTCTCAAAATAGAGATAATGTTGGGTCCCTTTCAGTGTATCATATCAAGGAGTGTCTAATGCTGAGATGGCTTTTTACTCATGATATTAACCATGATCACTTTGTTAACGGTGATGTCTGCCAGGTTTCTCTCCTGAGTTACTATTTTTCCCTTTGTAATTGATGAGTATCTTGAATAGTTTGGGACTGTGCTATTATCCTGTTTCTCCTCAAACTTTTGCTCAGTGATTTTAGCATTTCTTGGTAGGTCCTGCCTGCAACAGTTATTACTGTGGTGTTTACCTTGCAGGTTTGGCTTATCACTTTGGGGTCACCAGCTGTGGGTTCGGCTTTTGACTTTGTCCAGCAAAGCTGAGGACAGCAGAAAGGATTACTTAAGACTCCACAAGTCAAGAGAGGTGAGAGGGAGGCTAAGGGAAGTCATCCCAGGCCACTCTCAAGCTCCCATATTTATCAGGAATACATTATAGGGAAATCATGGCAATATGTCAATGGCTACATGCCAGCAGATGCTGGAAAGCAGGGTGGTGAACAAGATAAGATATTCCATAGATAACATGGTCTAAGGAATTCATGAGCACAGGCAGGATCCAACCTCTGAATACACATTAACCAGACACTGGTCAGCTGTTTTCAGCAGGGCCAGAAAGCAGTGTAATGCAATCTCTATAATCTCCTTAACCAAGACAGAGCTATTTGATTTCCCACATTGCCTAATAGTGCTTTTAGGTTTCCCCCATTCTTTTCAATTTCTTAATTATAATTCTTCTGTATGGAAGAACTGTCCTTTTTCCTCCATTATGTATTTATTCAGTTATTTGTCAGTAAGGACTCATGGATATTTTTTTTATTCTATAGGTTTTAGTCTGTCAGTATTCATTTTGTTTCTCAAATTGTTCTAGCTTTGGTCCTTGCAAGCTCCTTTAGGTTGGGTCCTGTATCATTCTGATATGGCCCTAACATTTTTTTAACACTTCTTTATTTTCTGGAGCAAGATGTTCCAGGCACATCCTACATTTTTTTCTGTTGTAGGCCTGGAAGGAACCTTTTATTTTATTTAGTTCTTTTAATGGATAATGATATTTATAAGCCAAGACTTGCATACTAGGTTTCTATATTGAGAGAAGTAGTTGATTCCAGGGTGTTTTTACTCCTAGGTCCTCTCTGTAGATAGAGCCTGGAAATACATGCGTGAATCCTAACCCACACAGACATATACTCCTCCCTATTTCTTTATCTACTTGTGTATGTGTATGGAAAAGCACAAATTTGTACTAATACCTCTCGTTCTAGTTCACCTGTGCAAGGTTCATTCTTGTCTCCCCCTTTATTATAATTTCTCCAACAGTGAAAAATCTGGCTCTCATTAGATACAATAAATTTGCTTACCTGTTCAATCTTTTTTTTTTTTTTTTTTTTTTTTTTTTATTTCTAGGAGAGAGAGAGAGACAGCATGAGCAGGGGAGGGTCAGAGAGAGAGGGAGTCACAGACTCTGAAACAGGCTCCAGGCTCTGGGCTGGCAGTCAGCTCAGAGCCCAACGCGGGGCTCGAACCCACGAACCGCGAGATCATGACCTAAGCGAAAGTCAGACGCTTAACCGACTAAGCCACCCAGGGACCCCTTACCTGTTCAATCTTAATATACACATAAAATAGTTACAGAATTGCTAACCCATACCCCTATGAGAAAGACATTTACTCAGTAGAGCACAGTATTTGTATACAGCTCTTTTTTTAATCCTTACGGTATCCAAACTACTGTTTTTCAAAGTTCACTTGGCTAGTTATTTTTTTCCTGACCCCCTTCAGTGTGGTTTCCTTATTTGTTTGTAATACTGTTAGGTTTATTTGTTACTGCCTTTATTCCATTTTGGATTCCTGCATGTATTGGTTGGTTTTGATTATTTATTGGGGGAATCGGAATGTTACTGGTTCTAAGAGTCAAAGCTATACAAAAAGACATCCTACCTGGTTTAATAAATCCAAAAGAGAACTCTGGATTTTCTTCCCCAAACCTGCTTTTCTTTTAAGCTTCTCCATCTCTGTAAGTGGCACCTCCCCTAAACCATATCCAATCCTTCCACATTAGGAAGTCCTACTGTTTTGAATGCAAAATATATTCCAAATACTACAGGTCTAATCTAAGGCATGTTATTTATGGCTTGGACTACTGCAGTAGCTTCCTAACTCTTATCATTACCCTCTTTATAGTTCCTTCTCCTCAGAGCGGCCAGAGTGATCTTTTAAAAGTGCAAATCAGAGACAATGTAAGCAGAATACAAGGCAGACCCCTTGTCAACCTATAAGACCTTTTATGTTCGGGCTCCTACCTGGTCTCTCTGCTCCTCAGCTCCAACCATTCCAGCTGGATTCATCACCTTTCTGTGCCTCGGTTCCACCAAGTTCTTTCTCATCTCAGGGCCTCTGCACTTAGCCTCCCCACTCCCTGAAATACTTTCCCTGGAACACGCTTGCCTGACTGCTTTCTCAGCTCAAATCACTGCCTGGGAGGGGCCTTCCCTAAACACTCTGGCTAGATGAAGAGGTAACGTCTACTCCCTGAGCACTCTTGTCCCATTTCCCTGGTTTATTTTTTTCTTAGAAGTGTTAATGATTTGAATTTTCCTCATTTATTTGTTTACTTATTTTTTATTTGTCTTCCTTATTAGAACATAATTTCTGTAAGGGCAGAGGCCTTTCTCATTTTGTTCACTGCTGAATTCCCAGTGTTAGAATAATCCTTGGCTCTTTAATGAACCTTAAATATTCTTCAGTGAGTGATTGAATAAATTGGATTAAATGGAAACACTAGCAATATTTTATATACCTGTACTTTTACTGATTGTCATTTTGATTAAGCCATAGTTTTTAATGGATTTAATGGTCAATCTTTTTTTTTTCCTCTCAACCAGTCATGTACACCTTCATGTGATCAGCCAGGATTTTGATTCTCCGTGCCTTAAAAACAAAAAACATTGGAATTCTTTTAATACAGAATACTTCCTAGAATCACAAGGTAAGCAGTGTTGTTTAGTTCTTATTTGTTTCACTTTCTCAGATGTTCTTATATGTTGCTTTAGTTGTTTCCCTAGATAATAACCTGGCCTCAAAAGCTCATGTACAACTTTGTATTCCCTATAAAGTTTCACCCATTAAAATAAACTGGATTGTTTGGGTTGAGTAGGATTGCCACTTTGCTGTGAGCAGCCTTCTCGGTGGTGGTGTTGGGGGCGGGGGGGGGGGGGGGGGGGGGGGGGGGGGGGGGGGGGGGCGGGACTAGAAAGCTGTTAAGTCAGAGTCAGAAAGGTGTTTTATTCTAACAACTGGAGACTTAAAGGTTGTCCTGAGAATTATTGGAGTTCATGGACGTGAAAGCTCTGAACAGTTGTTTCTTCTGCCATCAGCTGGGTAGGGGCTTAGGGGCTGCCTCATGTGAGGAGTGGCTGATTAACAGGGGAAGGCTGTATATGTGTAGAAGGAAGCATTTCCCGGGGTACGTACTTGGAACTTCAGTATTCTGGGACGTTAATGATGGCAGCTACCGCTGACCAAGGGCTAACCAGGGGTAAAGCACTGTGATAATAAGCCTTTGCTGTAAAAACATGGATTGCTTACATTGTGTCCCGAAGAAATGTAATTACTTCAAAAACAGATTGTTCAGATTTAGAATCTGATTCCCAGCAGTGAGTTAACCTCAAGTTTACTAGCTTTAGGATACCTGGCATATTTTTATTTGGAGTCAGATTTTCTCTTCTGGGGGGTATCTTGTATTGGCTTTCTAGAGTAGCTGGGCTCTGAATTTTTTTTCTTTGCCTGCAGCTGTGATAGAGATGGTACAGACCGCTGGCAGAGTGAGTGTCCGAGATGGGATGGCTGAGCTCTTGAAGCTGCCCCTCCGTTGTCATGAGTGCCAGCAGCTGCTGCCTTCCATTCCTCAGCTGAAAGAGCATCTCAGGAGGCACTGGCCAAAGTGATGTGGAGCCTGAACTTTTGCAGCAGGTGTGGCTGATTGTTTAGAGCAAATTTCTGGCACCTGTTCTGGATTCATTGTGAACTTTTATTTCTTGAATTAAAACATGCAGCTTCCCCCCCACCCCCCAAACAAATCTTCTTCTGTTCCCAAGTGGCTACAAAATGGACTGACTTGAAATGGTTCAGGAATTAGGAATTTGGGGTTGTTGTGGATGTGTTCTCTGGTGATGGTGGCTGGGACAGGCCTGACCCCCCAGTCTCCTGGATCCATGTCAGGTCTGACTAATGGGGAGCAAAGCCATATTTACACTGACCTAATGCAAGAAATGGAAGCAGAGAACAGGCTATATATTTCTGTTCCATACATTTAATCCTTCCACCTCAAAGGTTTGTGGTACCCTTCATTAGGGCAGCTACAGAGGTCTGGTATTTATCCTGAAGGTACTAATTGGTCTTGTTTTCTGATCTTAATCTGTTCCATAATATTCTTTCTCTTTCTTTTCTTCATGGAATAACTTAGTTTCTTCTGTCCCTTTCATTTTCTATCCAGAATCACCCATGCTTCCTTCTAAGGAAATATGTCTCACCAGTTCTTATTCACTGTGAGCAAACAGGCTTGGCAAAGGGGTGGAGAGATGGTTTTTTTCCCTAACATTAGAGGTTCCTGGCTGATGAAGAAATACTCAGCCACATGTTCATCAGGGTTCAACTGTCAAGCCTTCTTGCTGGCCTGCCTGGATCTTTTTGTCTGAAAATAAAGTTATTTGTTTGGGACAGCTATCTTAGGTAGCTGAAAATTGTTGGGAGTGCAGGTAATAGTCACAAATTCAGTTCTGATGCATGTAGAAATCATCGTTGACTGAAAAGTTGGACAGAACCCCATACCTTCATTTTTCATTCAGAACAAATTTGGTTTTAACTGGTGGAGCAAATCAGTTTTTGGATAATGTCAGAACTAAAGGTAAAAGGAAATCTAAGATGTTACTTTTCATTACATTGGTGATCTATTTGAGGATGTGACTCTTTTTGCTTTTGAGTTTGTTAAAAAAATAAAAGAATACCCTTAATAATAACTTCTTTCTGGAGAAAACCTCAATTCGAAAAACTGACCTCAGTTTTTTATAAACAAGATGATAACAAGATATCAAGATATCTTTTATAAACAAGATAAACAAGAGAGCTTCTTGGTTGAGTATGGGTATAGTCATATAGTCATAAATAGTAGTAATGATTATAGCAGCTAACACTTGTTCAACTCCTGTGTATCCAGGCATTATGCTAAATACCTTATTCAGATTATCGTATTTCTCACTGTATGTAATTCTATTCTATGGGGTAGGTACTCTTCTTATGACCCTTTAAAGGGTAAGATTTTAATAATCTGTAAAGGATCCTAGGCCTCAAAGTTGGTCTTGGTTCTGGGGCATCAAACTTATTTTCCCTGTTAGTTGAGGAATATAAATGTATTACTAACCAGTAGAGGCCATAGACTCCCAGGGACCTTGGACCTGGGCTGACCAAAAGCTTTCTGTGGCATTTCATCACTGATTTCTCTGAGGAGAGTCAGTTCCTTTAGAGCCCCTTTTCCATGTCTGATGCTATAAAGCCCCAAGAAACTTTGTTTCTAGAGGTATACTCCATTCTGATACCTGAGATCAGAATTGCTAGTTTCCTTCTACAACATGTAAACACCTGGACTTTATCTCAAAACTACTGAATCACAATCCTTTGGGCCTAAGAATCTGTATTATAAAACATTCAGGATGACTGTTTTTCATATTAAAGTCTGAGAACCATAGTATAAATGAACTCTGGGCTTCAAAGCCCTTTGCATTTCTGAAAGTTCCAGATTAGACTAAGCCCTGCCAGGATACACACACAGTTTTCTGGTTGGTTTTCTGGGCTAGTTGAAGGCCTTCCTTCACTTTTATTTCAGGATCCAGGGTCATTTTTGTTTCAGGATCCAGGGAGACCTTGGACATTAGAATGACTACTTCTAGGGACTAGCCCTTTGTTTCTGCAGGTCTGAGGAGAAGCCCTCTGGACCCATGTTTTTTTTTTTTTTTTTTTTTTTTAATTTTAAAAATTTATTTAGAGAGAGAGACAGCAGGGCAGGTGTAGAGAAAAAAGGAGAGAGAAAGAATCCCAAGCAGGCATTGCTCTCACAGTGTGGAGCCTGATGTGGGGCTCAAACTCATGAGCCCGGAGATCATGATCTGAGCTGAAATGAAGAGTTAGATACTTAACTGACTGAGCCACCTAGGCACCCCTGGCCCCAAGCTTTTCAGGACCAGACCTGGAGCTGACAACTGTACCTTTTCTTTTTTTCTTTTCTTCTTCTTCTTCCTCCTCCTCCTCCTCCTCCTCCTCCTCCTCTTCTTCTTCTTCTTCTTCTTCTTCTTCTTCTTCTTCTTCTAATATTTACTTATTTTGAGAGAGGGAGGGAAAAATCATGTGCTCTTGTGACGGGAGGAAAGGCAGAGAGAGGGAGAGAGAATCCCATGCAGGCTCTGAGCTGTTAGCATGGAACTTGACATGGGGCTTGAATCATGAGATCATGACCTGAGCCAAAATTAAGAGTTGGGTGCTTAACCACCTGAGCCACCCACATGCCCCAACTGTTCCTTTTCAATGGCACCCATCCCCTCCTGCTCAGATATTAGTCATGGAGGCTTGGTGTGGAACATGTGATGAACTTGGCTAACTGTAGGCTTAGCTAACCTTTCCTCTTCTGGGTCTGTCTGAGATATCCAGGTACAAGTGGTCCTTTCTGGGACCAGACCATACTTGAGATGATCACTGAGAGTCCTTGCAGGTTCAGGGATGTTTCCTGGAGCCTGGCATCTGGTCACATACACTGGATATGGCTGAATGTCAGAGATTTGGGGCTGATCTCTGTCAGAATTGGCCTGATGCCTCTCTGTCCCAGTAGCTACAACTTGGAGAGTTCCACAGAGCTCTGAAGATTCTTCCATAGACTAGATTAAAAAATATATTTATGATGAATGCCATGAAGCTCACTCCCCAGAATAATGTGTCTATACGCATTTTATGTGCCCTTGAAGTGCTTCCCTAAGGGGGTCTGTGAACCCCAATAACTTCTGCTCTGGAGGAAAAGGTCATCACTTTGCATGGGAGTTTAGGAGGTGTCTGGGATCACTATAAGGACTAGGAGAGAGACTTTATCTCTAGGATATTCTGAGATGCTCTCCTTTGATCTCATTGCTCCTCCCTCAACCCTTTGGTGCATATACATCCTGGGGGTTTCTGGCTGGAGATGGAATTCAGGCCCAGGAGCTGCTGGCTCTAGTTTAGCCACCACATTCAGGCAGGAATCTTGGGAAATGGAGAAATCTTAAGCAGGTCTGAGGGGTTCAGAACCCTGGCTGGCTGACTTATCATGAGCTATCCGAAAGGCAATGGATCTACATTACTAAAACCAGTCATCTGCATAAATAGATCAGCTATCTCATGCATATATCCCAGGATAGTGGGAGTGGCAATGTCTCTTGGGTACAGTATGTTAACAGTACTAACTGTGCTGGACTCAGTAAGTGATCTCTGACTAAGACAGATTTCGTTGAGGCCTCAGCCAATGTACTTGAGAGTTGCAGAACATTTAACTGAACTTCAGATAGGGTGTCCAGTGAACTTTTTAAAAATAGGTATTGCCAAAACAGTTAATTTAATTTTCTGCCTAATCAACAATGTTATATAGTTTAGCATGTTGATATTAAAATCAAAATGAGAATATTTGATAGGAAACTGCAACCAAGGAGAGACTTTATCACAGTGTATGTGATATATGATGATACATGTGATATATATGAGATATAATGAAGGAAAATTTGGAAGAGTGAGGTGACCACCTCTACATTCTTTGCTTAGCCAGGCTACACTGTGACTTTGAACAATATAATTTTTAGAAGAACAAATGTGAAATGAGGAGCCAGAAAAAGGACATGAAATATTGAGGTATATAGGCCCCATGCCACCACCTCTCCCAAGTGGGCTGTTGTTACATGATCACTAGAAAAAAATGGTCTTTCTTTCCTATTTATTCCAGACTTATTACTGTGTTAGAGTTGGGTGGAGTCTTCTCAAGGTACAGGGCATACTGGCATGGAAAAATAGAACAAATGCACATAACTCATATTTGTGACTCAAAGTTGTATTTCCTCCATTAGGGACTATCCTCTTTTACCTTAGCCCCATCATAGCTGAGGCAAGGCAGCAGTTTTATTAACATAAAATGGTTGAATATGGGTGGTTACTTCATCTCTAGCCAGGAAGCCAGATTTATAATCGAGTTCTTTTGTTGCTTAAAGAAAAGGTAGATATGATGATAGGGCTGAACTGGAAACCTGAAACTGAACAAGTGAATGCTTTATATGAGAACATGAAGAATATACCTTAAATAGTTTATAATAGATCTTAAGTCAGAGCTGAAGAAAAGGGCTCTCAAATTCCATTAGACTCTCTAAACTGGAATAGTCTACTCTTTTTTTTTTTTTTTTTTTAATTTTTTTTTTAAATTTATTTCTAGGAGAGAGAGAGAGACAGCGTGAGCAGGGGAGGGTCAGAGAGAGAGGGAGTCACAGACTGAAACAGGCTCCAGGCTCCGAGCTGGCAGTCAGCACAGAGCCCGACGCGGGGCTCGAACCCACGAACCGCGAGATCATGACCTAAGCGAAAGTCGGACGCTTAACCGACTAAGCCACCCAGGCGCCCCGGAGTAGTCTACTCTTGATATCTTAATTTCTTAACTTTTTCTCTTTTTCTTCCTTTCTTTTTAATTTTTTGACAAACTCTGCCATAAAGGAATAGGTTTTGAGTTTTAGAGTCTATTAATGATTAGTGTTCTGATGCATTTTTAGCATTATTTAGACCATTATTGAATGACTTATCAAATCAGAGACACACTCAAGTGCCTGAGTGTTCCTTTGTCAGCAGCTGCTCTCTACCCAAATTTTAAGGAAGGGAGAAGGCAGGATGTGGGGCAGTGGGAAAGGAAGTAAGACCTCTAGGATTTTGGGCCACACACTATTCAACTCTTTTGCCTGTTCCATTTTGCAAATTTATTTTGAGACCATCTATTTCAACTTCCTCAGTTTTTAGAAGGCAGCTGGGACTTAGAGATTTATGGGGCTCATTTAGCAATTTAAACCAGATATTGGCCTTTATTACAATCCTCTCTTTGTTCCCAGATCCTCTCAGATACTGCAATCTTCTTCTTCTTATTATTATTATTATATTATTTTAAAGTAAACTCTGCTTCCAGTGTGGAGCTTGAACTCGTGACCCCAAGATCAAGAGTTGCATGCTCTACCGACTAAGCCAGCCAGTCACCGTAGACATTGACATCTTATTTGAGAATAAGGATCAGCCACTCTCCTAAGTCCCACTCACTTCTGTCCTGCCTCATAATATTTTTTTCATATAAATGCAGAGGAAAAAAAATCACCTTAGAGTTGTATTTGAGGCTCAGCTGCCTTCCATGTTGGTTGTGTAGCACTGGGGCAGTCATTTAACCTCTCTGGCCTCAATTTCATCATTTGTGAAATGGAAATAAAATATGTACCTCCCATGTTGACTGAGGATTAAACAAGCATGAACATGAAAAGGACCAGGCAGTGGGGTGGTCCAGCATTCAGTCCTAGTCTCCTTGCCCAAACGAACCCTATCTGACCTGTGAAGCCTCAGTGAGTATTCTCTCAAGCAGGCTCTTTTGCATTTCCAACCTTGGTTTCTCATATGTATGTATGTATAGGTATGTATGTATTTTAAGTAGGCTTCATGCCCATCATGGAGCTCAACACAGGGCTTCAACTCACAATCCTGAGATCAAGGCCCAAGTTGAGATCATGAGTTGTGGTTAACCATCTGAGCCACCCAGGTGCCCCTTGGTTTTTCATATTTATAACCAGGACCTTGGATTAGATTATAGTAAGATCTGAGTCCTCAGCCTTCAGCTGGTTAGTTCCCATTGCTCTGTCCTCTGGGTCTTTTTTTTTTCCCCCCCTAAAACCGAATTTAGTGAATAAACTTTCTAAAG